TGTGGCTATGTTTCCGCTGAGTGCACAAGCCAAATATCAGGGCACGGTGCGCCGGTGTTTTGCTCCCCTAGTGGAACTAATTAGATGTTCCCAAAGGACAGCCCTGTCATCACATTGTTCTGCCCACTATGCAAACCTCCTTTTTGGCCCTAGGAGGGGAAACGATGGGCCAAAATAAACCTGCGAATAACGAAATTATATCACGGGGATCCGTTCCAAAAGTGCACATTATTAAGTCTGAAATCAAACCATTTGGGAAGTAAATAGCATATACAGTCGAAACAGCTTACATTACCAAAATGTTTAGATGCAGGGACGGATTGGCTTGTGTTTTTTACTCTCAAACAAAGGTTGAGAGTTGTCTTGACATCCGTTATAGCCCCGTCCTGTTGCTTGACACCTGTAAAAATGGTGTCCTATAGGCCTCTTATCTACACCTCTATCCCACTGTTTCACCAGTATTCTTTATTGCAAGTAGATGTCAGAGGTAGAAATATTTTCTTTTAAAAAAAAAATCTTCTTTCTTAAAATGCCCTTCTTGATTCAGTGACTTTAGCAATGTATAAGACACATTCAGGTCTTTCCAAATCAAATCCTCTGATTTCAATCAATCAGTTCATCAACAGACACCGGGATACTTGAAAATATGTGTTTGAGTACAAACCTTTTTTTCACATGCATTTATTTTTAGAGCAGCAAAGGGAGAAGAGACCACCATCAATCAGTGTTTTCAGTCAAAAAGACTTTCTTACAAGTATGCAAAAGAAAACATGTTTTCTACTAAGAAGAAGAGCGTATGATGAAACAATGTTATTTACGAAATATATTAGGTTGTGTATGTTCTGTGGGACTAGCATGGACTAACCCTAACCCTTCCGTAAACTCTAGTCCATGATCATTTCCTTCATGTACGTCTGGGTCTGATCCTAGTGGCTGCAGTTTCCTCGGTTGATTCCCCTCCGACCAATCAGAGAGCGGGGGAGGCGGGTATTGTAGGTCGGTGTCGTTGACGTCAAGAGTTTGTGCTGAATTTGCTGGTTGCAGTTTGTCGGAGAATGTGATAGTAAAATAATCTGTTCTGGTTCAATCCAAATATCAAGAAACTGAAGCCGGAGCAAGAGGAATGTTTAGTGAATGTCATTGAAGCAAAGATGTTGTGGCTCTACTCCCCACGGGCTCCGTTAGCGGCAAATGAGATGGCTAAAGTTAGGCTAAAGGCTAAAGCTAGGCTAAATGCTAAATGCCTCACTCACTCGGGCTCATTACATACGTCACGGAGATCCAATAGTTTTAATCTGCAAAAGGAGGTAATGGAGCAAATCCAGACCTTAGTACCAAATAAAATGAGTACAGTGGTACGGTAAGACCGGGATACTATGGGACAGATTTTTTTTGCCGAAGATTTAGCATTTTTCATAAACTCTCTATAAGTTGCATCAGTTGCATTTGTGCATTAACTATAAATGACTGCATTGTGCCAAATAATTACACGTTGATTGTTTTCTGCACTTCCATCCTCTTTCTTTAGAGCTTCCTTTAGTTCTCTTCTTACTGGGATCATGTCTCATCAGCCCGCTGTCCATTCACCCATAACACTATACTTTCTTTTAATCCAAGTTTGTTAGATAAACGGCAACACCTGACTGATTCCAAATTTTAATCAAACTTATAATTTGGGGTCCTTTGCATTTTTAAATACTTTTCAAAATGAACCTAGCTGAAATCTTAATTGTGTGCTAATATAATTAAGATGGACGGTCGTGATAAAGAAAGATATGACAGATAATGAACAATTCATTAATTCCACATGAACTCATTAAATCATCCTGAACTGGTGTTTACAAAGGTCTCATAGGCAGTTCATTATTTTTAAGTGTTTTCCATTAGCCGCCTATAATTGGATAGTCCTCTGCAATGTTCTCGCGCTGACTCTTATGTAGACTGAAGAAAGACACATTGGTGAAGTGAGTGTAGCGCACAATAGACCTATTATTCCCAATGAGAATGTTTTTTGTTGAGTTTGAAGGGGGAAAAACAGTACTCCTGGATGTATAGGCTCCTTCCCATTGTTCCAGTCATTTCCTCATTATATCCAGACAAAACACACTGCTTTGCCATCACCTCATTAACAGTGCTGTGTATTTTTTATGCTTTGGAGAAAACCATAAAGTCCATGAAGATAAATGGGTTCACAAGAAATTGGTCCCATGTTTTCAGCGGATGTGATTTGGTGAAAGAAATGTATAATTTAAAGGAGAAATATGTAAAAATGTGGCCTCTCCCACTGTCTCTGACTCAGGTTGCCAGATATGCAGACGAATCCAGCTGGGACCATAACAGCTGAATAGACAAGAGTTTATTCAACAACAAATCTATAACCAACACCTTTTTCACAACGTTTCATTCCTTTTTTTGTTGTTAATGATTAGAGAATTATAGCAAGACCCATTTTAGTTCTGTGCTACATGGTACTTTACCAGGGAGATTAGCTCCACGCGGTGAGTTCTGGCAACCAGGTGATTTCATCTGTACCTGTGGGAAGATTCTTTTTGCAGTAAAAAAAGGATTGACTTGGCATCCATACAAAAAATATTCATACAAATCACATGTACAAAATAACAGTCAGGACTCAAGAGTAAAAACCCAGAACAAGAAATAAAGTGGTCGATGGTTAAAATGCAAAAGAAAAATTTTGCTTCGGCTGCAATACACTTTTAGTATTATAAATTTCTAAATATTCTATCAGTGCATTTTATTCTTTTAGCCAAGCCCTGTTGGACATAATAAGTCTAAAACACAACATACAAATTGATATTTTAATTACACAACATAGCTTTAACCAGGAGTATTACAGCTAATCGCTCTGGTGTTTACATACGACCAAAGAGAAGTTAATTTAACAGCTACAGCATGTCCCCAGATGAGAAAATCACTGCTCACTGAGACCGTACTGTGTCATGGGCTTTCAGAGGATGTTCTGAAAGTAGCCGTTTATGGAAGCTACAAACGACCAGTCGACCTGAACACAGTGGTCCGGACTAAGAGTGAAGCGCTAATTAAAATACTAATGACATTTTCTCTCTGATCCTATGAACTCCATGTGGGATCGACGTGCCTTTGCCGAGACAGTGTGTTTATTTGCAAAATGTCAAAAATACCGGCAGCAATGGGATGTTTTTTACTCATCTTTTTGGATAAGCTTAATTCATAACTGTTGTTGAGGGCCATAATGTACTGCAGATTGTGTTTTTTGAGTGTTATACGAGGATTCTGTTCTTCCAGGTGGATCATCTAGCTTATTGGTCCTCCTAATTGTCAATCATTCTGGTGATTTGTGGAGTAAGGTCGTTGTAGGTGTGCGTCCCTTGGATCACGGAGCAGAGATAGGGACATGATGAAAGGTAAAAAGTGGCATAAGGTAATTGTCATAAGATTTGAGGCGGAAATAGAGGGGGCTATTGTTATATCAGAGGTCTGTTTGGTGATTAAAGGAGAAATGTGTGAAAATCTGGCCCAAAGTGGTACTGCAGCCTCTCCCATTCTCCTTGACTCAGGTTGCCAGATATGCAGACGAATCCAGCTGGGATCATAACAGCTGAATAGACAAGAGTTTTGTCAACAACAAATCTACAATCATCGAAATTTGAGAATCATAACGAGACCTTTTTTAGTTTACGTAAATAAAAATAAGTGCTATATTACACTCTCTCTATGCACAACCCTTTAGCGTAGAAGCAATTATAAATCAGAGGTACTGTGAGATTTCATAACACTTTTAAGCAACTTTTGTTAAAGTTAAACTCATCATTCTATCAATGTGCAGAAGCCAGTACTTTTCCCTTGTTTTGTCTATCTGAAGGCCAAGCTACATGGCACTGTGGCAGCTGCTGATTGGAGGTCTCCATGCCTCCGCTCTGTATAATACACTTGCATTCTGTTGTATCTGTTGTTCGTGCTGTCTCTACCATTGACAATAAAACATGTCTTCTGTCTGAATTAAAGACGCGATCCCAGACTTTGTCATCTTCTTCAGGTGGTGGAAGGATGCGGGCCTTGTCTGTAACATCTAGAGAACAGAAGAAGACTTTTTTTTTAAGCCAAAACTGAGAAACCTCAAGAGAAACCATACATCTGGATCAGCACACTTGGACAATCTGCACAGCCCCTGACTCCACTCAGGCTGTGAGCTGCTGAGACATGGACAATACCATCGTCCTCTTTTGCATGGACATCATTTGGAACAATTGGATTTCTGAATTTGGACATAATTTGGACTGAATTGGATTTCTGAATCTGGACACTGAAGCTGAAACGTGTGATTGAAAGACACGTCACAGAAGAATTCATGGCTCGACACAACAAATGCAGCCTGAAGAAATCAACACGGAGAAGTGGGAGAGACTGTTTTCAAAGCAATATCTGAGAACCACCATCGACTGATGAAGTTTGGTATTTTACTGAAGATTGTTGACAAGTTTTATGAAAGATCGATGTTTTCTGAGTTTTCTGAGTTTTTGAAGTATTCCGAGTTCTGAGTTTTTTGAAGTACCGAGTGAAGTACCGAGTTTAAGTATTGAGTTATGATGTTATGTTGCTCGATCCTGATGGTCACACGGGAATGTGTGACCAGAGGGGGGAATGTGAGATTTCATAACACTTTGAAGCAACTTTTGTTAACGTTAAACTCATCATTCTATCAATGTGCAGAAGCCAGTACTTTTCCCTTGTTTTGTCTATCTGAAGGCCAAGCTACATGGCACTGTGGCAGCTGCTGATTGGAGGTCTCCATGCCTCCGCTCTGTATAATACACTTGCATTCTGTTGTATCTGTGCTCGTGTGCTTTGTTCGTGCTGTCTCTACCATCGACAATAAAACATGTCTTCTGTCTGAATTAAAGACGCGATCCCAGACTTTGTCATCATCTTCAGTACATTTATATTTTGGGCCAATGATAAAATATTTATGGCTTTCAACGAGTCTGAAGGACATTGTGGAGTCAATGTCTCCTCAACTATGGTTCTCCTCGAGCCACTTACTGCAGTTTGACAGCCTCTGTGTTTGTTCTCCATCTCGTTGTCCTCAAGTGATTTTGCTTTCATTTATTTTTCTACTCTTTCTCACATGAGAGCGTTCAGATATGCTAGTAATGAAAATATTATCTACACACACATGCAGTGCACTTTGTAATCATTGTAGTCATTGTATTGTTTTTCATTTCTATTTCAGTATTTTACAGCATGCTCCGGGTCAAAACAGATTGTTGAATTTATGAGAATTAGAAAGGATGAAGAGAAGCCTTGAGCCACACGTATCATTAATGACTTAATTTGTTTATTATGTGTTTGTTTACTCTTGTCTTTTTAAAGCCTTGTCGTTTCCTCATTCAGAGCAGACGGCTTCAGGGCAGACGGCTTAAGGGCAGACGGCTTCAGAGCAGACGGCTTCAGAGCAGACGGCTTCAGAGCAGACGGCTTCAGAGCAGACGGCTTCAGAGCAGACGGATTAAGGGCAGACGGCTTCAGGGCAGACGGCTTCAGGGCAGACGGCTTCAGGGCAGACGGCTTAAGGGCAGACGGCTTCAGAGCAGACGGCTTCTGAGCGCTTTGTTGTTGTGTCCAGGGCTTTTTCCTGGTCGGAACAGGGCTTTGCAAATTCTCCCCGTATCTGTGTAGGTTTCCTCCAGGTTCTCCAGTTTCCCCTACCACTAAAAAAAATTATAACTGTAACTATATGAATAAAGTACTTACTTATTCTTTAATGACTAAATTCACAGCTCTTGATTGTTTTCATAGTTTTTGCTCTTGGTCTGTACATAAATGTCACAACAGAAGTAAACGCTCCCATTAAAAACCGTGTAAATCCCTTCTGTATTTATGTAGCAACTTCTCTACTCTGGTGTATTTTGGGACAATGTCAGTTTTGTTTCAGCAACTGCTTAATAAAGGGAATGGGTGACACATGCACTTGGAGTTTGTGGATCATATGGAGATGTTCTTTGGGTAATGGTGGTCGGACAAGCTACAGAGACCCATTCATTCATTTTCATCCTTTTATTATCCATTTCTGGGTCAGGGGGTGGCAATCAGAGCTGCCTTGGTCTTTCAGGGGGACTTCAGGCAAAGTGGGGTTAAGTGTCTTGCCCAGGGGCACAACAACAGTAGACATCAGTGGAACTGTCGCTCCCAGAGACCCTTCTTTTTTAAAGTGTTTTTATACTTTGAGTTTTTGCCTTTAGAATTTAAATAAAACGTCATAATTCAAAAGACATGACAAGGCAACAGTTATAATGCAAAGAAAATATTACATAAAAATAATAGTAATGATAATATCAAATAACTACATTTCTCTATTCAAGGTCAATGCTGTGGTTTGTTTATTTGGGGTTTGATGTAATTTTTATTTTATTTTGTTTTGATACCAGTGGATTGCATACATTACAGCATAGGTATTATTATAGTCAAGGCACATCCTGACTTTGATTTTTTCATGAAAATGTCAGGACATCCCTGACATTAAAGAGCTGTTCTCTGCACGTTCTATGTTAATTCTCATTTCTGTGTGAATTGACAAATTACATTTTGTCGTGTGTGATTCTTCCGACAGCCGCTCTCTGCCTCTGTAAGTCCTGCTCACCGGCTCCTCTCTCCTTGACTCTCATTATTTCAAATTAAATGAAGAATGTGCCTGGAATATCTGAATAAATTAAAGGGCTTATTTAAAAACATTTCAGAACCTGATTAGCCTGATCATTAGGAGAGCGAGGGCTTTTCACAGCGTGGTTTCTGCAGAGTGAGAGACTGTGACCACTTCTAAAGGTCAGCAGTCTCACATGTGGCTTTCACTTCATCTCATCCATTATTTAATTCAACCACTTCCTCTTCAGAATCTTTCTTTCATGACCTCTTTGACTTTCACAAAATGGACGATTGAGTCTAATTCTCAAATCAGTGTCAGTCCAATAAAAGATCCTGGAGTTTTTTCGTTGCTATAAATGTTTGGCTTAAATCTGTTTAATGATACACTGACAGAATAATATTAAAGAACTAGATAAGATAAGAGGGATTTCTAAAATAAAAGTAAGATATGATCAAATGTATGCAGTGTTGCACAATACGGCAGAAAAAAAGACTCAGATTGCATCAAACAGAGGGAAATACTAAAATAAAATAATAAGTAATAAGATTGTGAAATAGAATAAAATAAACTCTGGAGCTATAATGTCACTTTGATGGATTTGTAGAAATGCAGTAATAATAATAACGGGTTTAGTGACGAGTTAATTATTATCAATGACATACAGACTCAGCAGTTCTCGTTGTATGGTTTGACAGCAGCAGGGAGGAAAGACCTACGAAACCTCTCCCTCACACAGCGAGGGTGAATAAGTCTGTCACTGAAGCTACTCTCCGGAGCAGACAGACTCTCGCCTCTGAGCAAGAAAGTCGTGGGTTCGAATCACTCTATTTGTACGTTTTTTAAAGATCTTATGCAGGGTTTGTGTCATTTAGAAATACAGTTTTAATACCATTTCATACTACTACTAGGGGTTTCAAAGTCAATTGTTTTGTTTTTTTGGTCTGATCCTCCCAAATCGAGAAAAGACCATAGTAACGTCCTTAGAAATGAAAAAAATCGCGCTTCTCTCTCAGTGACGTCACGGCGGGGACCGGTGTGATCCAGACGTACATAGTCCTCCATACTATCACGCTTGTTTATATTTTGTTTGTCTATTTTTTGCACTAAATCGGTGGATATTTGAGATGACAAGTATATGTGTTGAAATGCACTGCTCACAGACGCACAATAGGCTTCAGACCAAAGGAGAAGAGGAGGCTTTGGACGGAAAATGAAGAAGAGGAAGAAGGCTAAGCTACATGCGTTTGAGAGGAGGAGGATGGACTTGATCGCAGCCTCGGTGAGAACGGCAAACGGACTTCAAAGAGTTGCAGAACTACGGGACCCTGTTTTATTCACAACCATGTTCCTCTCACGGAGACTTTACCTTCAGTGGAACCGCTGCAGCGAGCGGCGCTGGGACATAGACCGCGGCTCTATCAGGAGACTGTGAAATACGCAAGAGTCACTATTACAACTTTTTTATGTTGTAGATCGATCATTAAAATGAAACGAGTCATTTCTAAACGTTATCACATTTATATTATACAAATATTTGAGTTTGAATACAGCGTTTGATCGTAACTTTTTGGCAAAAGTGACATGAGGAAATCCCTGTTAGCCTGTTAGCCTTAGCCATCCGTAAACTGTGGTCAATTCAGATTTCCCTACGTAATATAATGAGTACGATGTGGTAAGACCATAGACTCTAAATATTAGTGAGACCATAGACTCTAAATATTAGTGAGACCATAGACTCTAAATATTAGTGAGACCATAGACTCTAAATATTAGTGAGACCATAGACTCTAAATATTAGTAAGACCACTGTGAATATTAGTAAGACCATAGACTGTGAATATTAGTAAGACCAGACTAAATCCCTGTTACTCCCTGTTTAGGGAACGTGCAATAAATTATGTTTAACGTGAAAACATCGTCGGAGTCTCGGAGATGTGAGAACTGCTTTTTAGAGGTTGTTATTAAAAAAAAATCTGGGGGAGGCCCTTAGAGCTCATTTTACCTCACGGTCTCACTGTATTATGTTTATATGTGAGTGCTGCTGTCAAGAATTGAAGTGAAGTTGTGTCTGTAGTCAGTCCGTGGTTGTTGACGTTTTTTGTGGTTGATGTAATGGCGTTTGGATGGCACTTTTCACCCTCACAGGGTCTAACAAATAGTTAATAATTATTTCCATATTTATTTCCCTGTAAGAGGCGTTGTGCCGATCTGCGTCAAGTCACTTTCTAAACGCCCTCATCAGGCCGTTTTCTAGGTCTGTGTTTGTCTCTTCTCTTTATCCAGGGAAGCATCAAACATGTGGCAAAAAATAAAAGACTTCTTCTTGTAACTGGCTTTGCTCTTCATCCGTTGATACTCGGTTCATAGACAAGGTTTTTTCGCATTTTTTGTTCGCTGTCGGAATCACTGTCCACTTTGAATGAGCCTGTACCCGCTGTGATGTCACACTTCCGGGTGTGAGGCTGAGACAACGCAAATGTATTAAAAACATATTTAAAAAAATAAAGGATAAGGATAATTTTTGCTGGAATCTATTTCAGATTGGCATTAATTGTTTATCTGTCTTGCAATTTGTATATTGCCACAAATTATTGGACAAACCCTGCATAAGGTCTTTAAAGCGCTTTGGGTGAACTTGGTCAGTCAAAATGCGTTATATAAATAAACATTTCTTACTCATTTATCATCTCAAAGTCAATATTGCCTCTTTTCAAACATCAAAGAAAAGCCTTCTCCAAAATTGTATAAACTGCAATCTCTTTGACCCTGTATTCTAATAGGCAGGGCCAATAATCACAATACATTAAAATAAAAAATGTAATATATAATCTCTGTGACTTGAATAGAAAATTGCATAATTGCCACAGCCGCAGGAAGGCAAAGGCCTCTTGGCACAAAACCTAAAGGTCACGGTGCGCTGTGCCCTTTGCCTAACTCAGAATATGCAATAACCTGTACGAGTGCTCATCTGGGACGGCACACGGAGGCTACCCATCTGTGATAGCAAACAGTTGATCTAAAAAATTGCATAATTGGTCGCACAGCCTCATGGGAAACCATCTCTATACCCTTTTCCGCTCGGTTGCTTGAATTAGCATCTCTGAAGGCGCTGTATAAATGAAATATTTGTATGCGGCCTTGTGTGTGAGAAAACTTTTGTTACACGCTGTCACCAATCTCATAGATAACCTTCCACCAGATCTCACGCGGAAATACAACCATTTTTTTTTTTTTGCGATTTATAAAAACTAATTTGCAGAAGGGAAATGTCTGAATATATTGGAAGCTTTAATCAAATCAACTCAAGGCACTTTGAATTATTCTCACTTTAATGCACTAATATTCTACAAGCACTATCAATTACCATGCGCTGGGTGTGTAGGTAGAAATGGGGCGCTCATCACGGACGCTCCAGTGCGTTTGGCTCAAGGGTTCAAAGTGCAACAGAGTGAAATAATATGCTCGGGCCCCTTCGCTTCTCTGTCTGTGGCATCTCTCATTATCTTTGAAGAGCAGATAATTAGGATATATCTTCGCTGCAGGGAAGAATCAACCTCACGCTTTCAGTCTCTCAGAAATAGAAGCAATCAAATTATTCACAGATCGGCAAGGGGGAGTGTGTGGTACAATATTGTTTTAAAAAGTAAAATGAAATTTGCGAGTTTTTGTGGTTTTGGAGGGGCACTTTGGAGTGAGGTGAGAGCAAGAAAAGAGTGTTTTTTATAGCGCATTTTACAGACCAAGGTCACACAAAGCGCTTTACAAATGTTAAGATATTGTTCCATTCTCTCCACACGGTGATGACAGAAGCGAGACCTGAACACACTGGACCATCAAAGCCTCCAAACTCCATCCATTTACTCATTACATCCAGACGTATTATGTATGTTTTTAGTGGTTAGGGGAACCTGAGCACCCGGAGGAAACCAGGGCACTTGGAGGAAACCTACACAGACTCGGGG